GGAAAGAGCTGGTGGGTTTGAGGAACGAACTAAAGGCCCTGAGGCTGGAGGTTGGTGAGCTTCGGTCAACAGTCAGACAGGTAGGCATGGGTCAGGTCATGTGGGCATTGAGGGGCTGAGTCAAGGGGTTGGATGTGTTTCAAGTGGGATGAGAAGCACCAGGAGCAGGAGGTTCGTTCCGCTTGGTGCCCTGGTCAGGATGGGAACCCCGTGACCCTGCGGAAGAGGGAGGTTAGGAGAGATGGAGACGCTCAGCCGTTACAGTGGAGTCATATTGAATAAGGATGAGTGCATCATGTTCTACAATCAGCATGTAAGGCAAAAAGCACGCATAGTCCTTAAGAATCCCTTATGGGACTTACTACATTTATATCTTTATAGTAATAGGTATTTGTATGTACTCTATAGGGTGATATACAGTATATGAAAAAGCAGACATTATATAAAAAGCACATACCCAATATATAACTTAGTATTACTCTTAAACATATAAAAGGGAGAGGTAAGGGCAAGAGCCAACTAGTGTCCATATGTGTTTGTGTGAGGTTTCCTATAATGGATGATGTCGGTGTCTCCCCTGAACCCCCTTTCCTGGCTGGCACTCCTGCCTCCCAGCTGCTGAGATGATGGCTGTTAACATTCACAGCTGCCCCCCCCCCTTTTTTTAAAAAATTATTTTTATTGATTCCAGAAAGGAAGGGAGAGAGAGAGAGAAACATCAATGATGAGAGAGAATCATCAATCAGCTGCGTCCTGCACGTCCCCCACTGGGGATCGAGCCAGCAACCCGGGCATGTGACCTTGACCAAAATCGAACCCGGGACCCTTCAGTCTGCAGGCTGAAGCTCTATCCACTGAGTCAAACCGGCTAGTCAGCCCCATTGCCAACTCTTAAAGCAGCGTGAGGGCAGGGCCAACCTTTACTCTGTGATGTGGGAAGGGCCAGGATGAGGCCCTTCTCTTGACACTTGCCCTCAGCCAGAGGGAAGCCTCCCTTCCTCCCTCCCCAGCTGCTACCAGTCCTGGGGTCAGATTGGTGAGGGCACAATAGACTAGTCCCCCTGCCTCAATGTGAGACTGATTTTGTGGGGTAAGTGGTGCTCCAGAGCTCCCCGTGGGCCAGGCTCAGACTGCACCCTCTCAACGACCCCCCTTCTCTTCCTCACTTCTTTTCTGAGAGTTCTGCATCTAGGTGCAGTGGTTCTCAACCTTCTGGCCCTTTAAATACAGTTCCTCATGTTGTGACCCAACCATAAAATTATTTTCGTTGCTACTTCATAACTGTAATGTTGCTACTGTTATGAATTGTAATGTAAATATCTGATATGCAGGATGGTCTTAGGCGACCCCTGTGAAAGGGTCGTTTGACCACCAAAGGGGTCGCGACCCACAGGTTGAGAACCGCTGGTCTAGGGCATCTGACCTGAGACCCTCCCTTGGAAGGCATGCCTTCCAGGTGCCAGGCTGTTGGTGTTTGTTGACTTATTTAATCCTCACAGTAACTCCTGGGGGCAGGGGAGGGGGGATCTGTCTGGGTCATGGCGACATTCCTTCTTTGAGAAGTCCCCCCTTCCTTACTTTACTGGTGGGGGTCCCCAGGTGTGCTCTGTGACCCACCTTTGCTAGACATAGTCCCCTGGGCCATGGACCATGCTGGGCCAGATGTTTTTTTCTCCTAAGAGTTTGAAATTGAGACGGAAAGACAGCAGCCAGACTTAATGAGGCTGGGACTGTCACACATAAACCTATGTGCGAGCCATGGGGCAGCCAACTTTTGCCACAGGCCCCAGGTAAATGGAAGAAGCCTGTCTGCAGAGGGAACAGGATGAGGCAAGGATGGCAGGCAAAGAAATGAGAAGGGAGGTAGAGGGGGAGTCCTGACTGAATTTTTGGTGGCTTTTCAAAGTGCTGTGCCAGGCTCACTTGGCCTTCTGCCCTGGAGTTTCAGGAGATGCCCTGGTCTCCTCCCGAGACTGATTTTGCTTACGCTGGCCCGAGACACAGAGTGTTGGCTAAGAAGGGGATTTTGTTCCCATTTGACAGATGATGAGAAGGATGCCCAGGAAGGGTAACTCACCAGCTCATGGGAGCACAGCCAGAAACGGATGCAGCTGAGCTCCCAGCTCACCCTGCCTTTCCAGTGCTCATGCCTGCCCTTTGGGGCCAGGGCTCTGGGCATGTGGCTGCTGCATCTCAGAGCATCCCACCTCGGGGCTGGCAGAAATTCCTTCCTTGGACTCAGGAATTCCCGAGCTCCCTCCGAAGATGGCAAGGGTGTCACCCCACCCTGCCGGCTGCTACTTCTGACCTGACATCCACAGGTATCCTGCAAACAAGTAACTTGTACCGAGCTTTGTAGCCAGGCTCCAAGGGTGGCCCGAGAGCCCTTGACCCTCCCCCTGAGGATGGCCTTGACCTTTGATTGCTGTGTAACTGCGACTCTGAGACCCTGCACATTTGAGGGAAGGGGAGTTTAGCTCGAACTGCATTTCCTCACCAGCATCACCCATCCCTTAAGATGCAAGCTGATAAACGAGTCAACGCTGAGCCCAAACCAGGCATGATTAATCATTTCCTCCTCCATGCTGCTGCTGCATCCTGTGTCTGAGTCATTTCCACATCCCTACTACCTAGCACGGTGCCTAGCACAAAATAGGCATCGGGCACATTAGCGAGTGGCACTGAATCTTACATTGCTGGATGTTGTGTCCACTCAGTCCCATGGCCAACTCTTAAAGCAGCGTGAGGGTAGTAAAGCCAACCTTTACTCTGTGATGTGGGAAGGGCCAGGAGGAGGCCGTGCAAGTGTGGGTTCTGCAGGCACTCGGGAGTCCTTGGCTTGAATCCTAACTCTGTCCCTTTGGGTTTTGAAATCTTCGGCAGGTTATTCCTCTTTTCTCTGCCTCTGTTTCCTCATCTGTAAAATGGAGGTGATCATAGTAACAACTACCTGGCCACGTCATCAGGAGAATTTCCATCACTGGCCTCACACAAAGTAGGATGTCAGTAAGTATTAGTTCTCTCCACTCAGGTCTTTCCCACAGTGCCTGGCATACGGCAGACATTCAGTAAGTGCTCGGTCACCTTCAGGCTACTCTGGACGAAGCAGCCCAGGACAAGCAACCAGCTGACTGCAACTGCATGGATGGGCCCAAGGAATACCAGCCCAGACCAGCACGATTCCAAAATCAGGAGCTAATAAGTGATTGCTGCTTTAAGCCCGAAGTTGTTTTTATTTTTTTCATTGATTTTTAGAGAGAGGAAGGAAAAGGGAGAGAGAGAAACATCAATGCAAGAGGGAAACACCCATTGGCTGCCTCCTGCATGCCCCCTATTGGGGATTAAGCCTGAAACTCGGGCATGGGCCCTGACCAGGAATTGAACCGGCAACTTTTGGTGCATGGGACGATGCCCAACCAACTGAGCCACACTGGCCAGGGCTAAGCCCTAAGTTTTGAGGTAGTTGTTACACAGCAAAAGCTTACTGAGACAAACAATGACGTTATAAGAAGGGCTGGGATGGAGCTGGTCTTTGGGAGAAACTGAAACCAGAACTCTTTCTTGTCTTTGCTTTTTTCTGAGCAATACTTTTTTTCTATGTCACAGCACACTAAATTTCTTCATGGTATAGAAAACACGGCTGTGTTTTACACCTTGCACCTTCAGCTAATGTGAAAAATGAACTCCTTTCTCTACCTCCCAGGTCTAAAATCCCCTGGGAAAAGGCTCATTGGCCCAGCTTGGGTCAGGTATTCACCAGCCCTCCCCCAGTCAACTGGGGATGGGTGGAGGAGGCAGGATCACAAAACACGTCCTAGATGACACATGCTGAGCACAGCATTGCCAAGCACTGTTTTAAGGCTTAATGTGTGTTAACTGATGTCATCCTCATAACAACAATCCTATCTGAGCTGTTATTATCTCTGCTTTGAGGTGAGGAAACTGAAAACTGAGGCACCCAGAGCTGAAGTAACATGTTACAGCCAGAAAGAAGTGTGGCCTGGAATACTATCAGGACTCCCTGCCTCTAGAGCTCTCACCCGTACCAGCCACACTCTGCTCCTGGAAGGAATCTAAGGACGGAGGGGCAGGCAGGGTGGAGGCCCTCTAAGGAAGGAACTGGATTGTTTAGCCCAGAGAAGGGAAGCCTCCAGGGGCCCTTAAATCATGCTGCCTTCAGATCTCTCAATGCCTGTCCTTGGCAATGAGAGTGCAAGGTTCTGGGTGACCCCTGAAAATGAACCCAGGGCCAGAGGGGAGTGGGTAGACATCGCCAGGTGGTGGGTTTCAGTTCAACGGAGGGAAGTTCTTCAGAGTCGGAGGTGTGTGAGGATGGTATGGGAGCCTTGGAAATGTGAGTGCCTCGTTGCCAGGAGTTGGAGGAGCCCCCTTGTGGGGTGGGGATTGTGGTTGTGGGAGTTCCTGCAGTCCCTGTCTCTGAGGGTACGTAAAGCCAGGGCAGGACAAGGAAGGAGCTCAGCGGCTGGAGGCTGGACGGGGGCAGAGGTCCCAGATCTTTGGATCAGTAAACCATCCCCTTTCAAATTTCAGGAACAGATGTAAGGTGGCCAGTTTTTTCTTTTCTAAACAGCTAGACAAACTAACCTAAAGCAACTATCAGACACTTCACCACTTCATAGAAGGAAAGTCCTTTTTTTAAATCTTTGCTCGAGAATATTTTCCCATTGATTTTTTTTTTTAGAGAGAGGGAAAGAGAGGGAAAGACAGAAAGAAACATCAATGTGAAAGAAGCACATCGATGAGTTGCCTCCTGCACTCACCCTGATCAGGGCCCTGGCCAGGGAGGAGCCTACTACCGAAGTATATGCCCTTGACTAGAATCGAATCCGGAACCCTTGGGTCTGCAGGCCGATGCTCTATCCACTGAGCAAAACCAGCTAGGGCAGGAAAGGCCATTTTTAACACCAAAAAATCCAAATGGGCAATAGCTCAGAATAAACTATTGTTTCTGTCAAGGAAGAGCAGTTGACAAGGGTACATCAACATAACAAAAAAGGTTATATTAAAAACCAATTTGGAGGCATAAAAATTAGGGCATAACATTTTGTTTTACGTGATTATGTGCTAATATGAGTAGTTTCTGTGTGTGTGTGTGTGTGTGTGTGTGTTTAATATTTAATAGCACAACCAACCAAGGATCCAGCTGTGAAGTTATCATGTTCAAGTAATGGGGTGGGCCCAGCCAGCATGGCTGAGTGGTTGAGCGTCGACCTATGAACCAGGAGGTCATGGTTCGATTCCCAGTCAGGGCACATGCCTGGGTTGCGGGCTCAGTTCCCAGTGTGGGGCAGGCAGGAAGCAGCCAATCAATGTTTCTCTCTCATCATTGATGTTCTCTCTCTCTCTCTCTTCCTCTCTGAAATAAATTTAAAAATATACATTTTTAAAAAGAAACAGGGTGAGAGAGACTCACTCTATAAACTATATAGTATATGATAAGGAGAATGCACACTTATAACACTGTCTACACATAGTAGTTAGTTGCAAAAAAAGCCATTTGGTCTTCTCGTGGCTTGTAAGCACAATGTCCCAGATTTCAGTGTACATTAGCAACTGCTAACTCCTTTGTGTAACCACGGTCTTGTTTTCAGCTTCCAGTTCCTCCACCCCAGCCTGTCATGAGTTCTGCAGTGTGTTTCTCCAGGTCATCAAGGCGACTGCTCAGGTCTCAGTTCTTCCAGCAATCCGGGCGGACATGGCCTGACATTGGTCTTGCACCTGCTGCAGGAGTGTCTGCACCACCGAGGTGAGGTCCTGCTGGGTCTTGTTTAAAATATTGATTTCTTAATTTTGGGTTGGAAAAGTGGGGGGCGTCTTATACATGGGGGCGTCTTATACACGGAAAAATACTGCATGTGAATGAGGACAGATTCTGTTATTAATGATAGTCATAGGAACTGGTGTTTGGTGAGCACTTTCCCTGTCAGGCAGCGTACATGCATTATTAGCTCACTGAATTATTACAATAGCCCTGCAAAGTGTGTGCTCTGTTGCCATTTTACAGTTGAGGAGACTAAGGCCCAGGGAGGTTAACACTCAAGGTCATACAGCAAGCAGCTGGTCAAACTGAGGTTTACACTTATGCCCGAAGGAGTGCTAAGCGTTCACTATTAACTGCTGTGTCATATTCTTTACTTGCTTCTCAAAATGTAGAGAGGAATATTGGTGGGGGTGAGGCCTGTATCTACTCATATCTCATTAGAGATCTGCTGTTTCCCAGCAGATGCAGGCTGCTGTGTGATCCTCTCCAGTTACTCTGTGAGTGTGACCTGCTTCCTTGGTGTGTAAATTCCCTGGGGGAGAGTCATGCGCCCCTTGAATGCCCAGCTTGGTGCTGTCCTGGCTGGGGACTAGGGGAGGGGGGTGCCCCCTGAGCCTGGCTGAGACTTAAGGAGCAGGGTTGGGCCAGGCAGGAAGAGGCAGCCAGGGGTTTCCTCTGGGTGGGCCAGCCTGGCTCTTGCTGGGCTAGAAGCCAGCCTCGAAAGGAATTTCCCAGCCACGTCTTACCTGTGTCTTCTTTGTGGAAGGAGCATAGCATTGGAGGACGGGCTCTGCTCTTCACTCCCCCAGAACCCGGCCAGTCAAGGGGAAAGAGGAGACCCCGCGGGGTGCCTTCATTTGGGGGGAGGAGGAAGCACTTCCTCTTAAAGCATCAAGGTCTGGTTCTTCTCTCTAAGGAAAAGAGCTCATTGGTGTCCAGGGAAGAAGGCTTGGCTTAGCTGGGTGACCACCTGCTCTTTAGCCATTGCTGTGTAATAGAAACAGAATGTGAGACACATATGAAATTGTAGATGGTCTAGAACCATGTGCGTGTGTTTTTAAAGTAAAAGAAACAAGTGAAATTAATTCTAATAACAAATTTATTTAACCCAGTATACATAAAATTGTATCACTGCAACACATAATATAAAAATTAATGAGATATTTCACATTTTTTGTATTAAGTCTTTGGAATCTGGGGTGTATTTTATACTTATGGCCCAATTGGGAGTAGCCACATATCAAGAGCTCAGTAGCCACATGTGGCCAGTGGCTACCATATCAGACAGAGGAGCTTTACACCATGGATGCTGGAGACAAAGAACCAAAAGTCTCAGAATTTCTGCAAGGACTTGGGAAGGACTTTAAGGTCATCTGGTCAAGCCCCTCACACAGAAGGAACTGACTTTCCTCAAGGAGATCCACTGCTCTCAGTAAGGCTGACGTCTGTACCTGGGAGTCCATGTCCCTGCGGCCCCTTCCCAGTGGAGATGGGTTGCTGACAGCCACTGTCAAGGTATATAACAGAGGCAAGAGGAAGACCCTGGAAGGAGGTCGTAAGTACCCTACCCTAGTAGACATCCTCCCATCTGTCCCCTTCTCCCTTTCTGGAGGGGAATGTCACAGTCTGGGCACAGGGTGGGCAGGAATCCCTATGCTAACTTCCCAAACCTGAACAGACTCGGGCCTTCTGATTCTCTTCTTTCCATATTCATTGCCGCTTAAGGTGAGCTTGGGTGCAGATAAAGGCAGGTCAGACTTCCTTGGGGAAGAAGCAGTTAAATGCCTGGGCAACCGGGGCAGGCTTCCCTGCTGCGTAGAGACAGAGGGGCAGGGGAGCTGGTGGTGTGGCCATGGGGGTGGAAGATGAAGGGGAAGGGTGACCAGGCAGAGGGTGACAGAGAGTGGGGACGAGCGAAGGAACTGGCCTCCTATTTTCCCAGGACCCTCAGCTGCCGCGACTCTTTCTCCTCCCCACATCCTAGGGTGTCCGAGTCACCATGGCCCCCCCCCCCACACACACACACAAAATCTCATGTTTTATATGTCTGCCCCCTGAGGTCCTGAGAAGACCAGCACATGGTGGGAACCCAGTGAGTGGAAGTAAGAGGGGAAGCAGAGGGCGCGTGCAGGCCAGATGGGCAGGGGAACACCGGGACCGACAAAGGGGCAGGAAGGGAACTGGTGTGGCTGGAGCACCGGCTTGCCCCGTTGTCTCCCGTATCTCATTCACGACCCCAGCAGTGGGAGACGGCATTGCTCCCAAGCTACAGGCCAGGAAGACAAGGCTCCGACAGGTCCAGTTGCGTGCTGGGGTTAATGTCCATTCTGTCTCCTTCCAAAGGATGATCTTTCTAGGTTCTCTCTGGCACGTTCTCACCTGGCTACTGCCAAGAACCCAGCAGTGACCAAGTTCTTGGCAGGCACCCCCGCCTTTGCGGAGACCTGCTTCGTTGGGCGTTCCTGGTGAAGTGGAGGGTTCCTGGAAAGGCCTCCTGTGACGGCAGGTACTACCCCACCAGGTTTGGAGGTCACCCAGTCACCACCGCACTCCCACCCCTGTGCTTCCCTCGGTCAGAATTGGAGGCAGTTCTGAGAGGTAGAGTGGCTTGCTCAAGGCCATAGAGCAAGGGGGTGGGATTGGCCACGCCTGCCCCTGGGCACTGACTCATGGCAGCTGCTGTGGGAAAGCCACCACCAGCCTTGGCTTTCCCAGCCGGGCAATGGGCAGGCTTGCTTTGACATAGCTGCCTGGGCCTGGAGCCAGGGAACTGGGGAAGAGCTGAGCATCGCGCTTGCCCTGTTCCAGTGCCAACATTCCCATGGGGCATCCCTCCCTGTGGGCAGGAGTCTTTCCAGTTCTCAGATGGGCCAGGCCAGGCTCTGGTGTGGCTCAAATCCAGCACCCAGCTCAGGTGGGGTGACAGCATCCTGGTTTGCTATCGCAGCCTTAGCACCCCAAGTCCCGCATCCTGGGAACCCCTCAGGCCTGGACAAACAATTGGTCACCCTCGTTCTGGCACCAAGTTCACAGCTGGCGCTCAGGTGAATGAACACAGTCAGCGAACGAAAGGACAATGAAAGAGCAACAGGCCGGGAGGGAGTCAGAGGGGACTGCTGTCCCCATTTCATAGATGAACGGAGGCACAGAGAGCTTAAACCTTCAGGTTGCCTGTATTTTTTAAAAATTGATTTTAGAGAGAGCGGGAAGGACAGAGAAAAACCACCGATTTGCTGTCCCACTTACTTATGCATTCGCTGACTGATTCTTATTGTCCCCTGACCAGGAATGGAACCTGGAACCTTGCTGTATCATCCCAGGGTGCTTGTGTGCCACCTCAGGCCTTTCCGCAGCACCAGGTCTCTGTACTGTCCCCTGAGCGAGGGGGCGAACAAGGGCATGGCGCGTGGGAACCTCCCCCGCCCCGAGCTTGGCCACTCGGTTCCGTACCCCCCGCCTCGCCCCACCCCCCGCTGCTCCCACCCATGCTCCCGCCCAGGAGTGGGACCGGGGACTGGTGGGCGCGGGGCGCTTGGAGAAGGTAGATGAAAGGGGCCGCGATCGCCCCGTAATTAGCCGGCGGGCTGGCTTATCAGCCATCGCGGGCTCCCGGGCTGGCTCCCCACGCGGCCGCCACCGCCTCCCGGGGCGGAGAGCGCGGCGGTTCCCACGCTCGGCGGGGCCGGGGGCGTTCTCCGCTCGGCGTGGCCGCGCTCGCCACCGCCGCGAAGGCCGGGCTATAATTATGGTAATTGCGCGGCTCCCCGCCCGCCCGCGGCAGCTCAGGACCCCCGCTGGCCCGAGCTGTCCCGGGAGGGGCCGGGGGCGCCCCAGACGCTGCCCCCACTTTTCCAGACGAGTGAGTCAGCACTCTGGGCGGCCTGAGAGAAGGGGCTCCTGGAGTGGGCTTTGTGGGGAGGTGAGGGAAGGGGAGAGAGCTAACCTTGATGGAGCACCTACTGTATTCAGGTGGCTGGCCAGGCTGTTCCATTCCTGCTCAACACTAGGGTGGTGTCTGGAGCAGATGCGAACATCTGGACCGCCCGCGGTGCCTGGCCCAAGAAGATGCTGACGATATAGAACAGCATCCTATTCCGCCCAGGGGTTTAACCAGTGGGCTTGAAGGCCCATCAGGGTTTAGTGGGCGTGCCCACCACCACACAGGGAGAACCTCCCCGCTTCCAGGCGGGAAAGGCAGGCCCCACGCAGCAAATACTGGTTTTGCTTCCTCCAGAACTTTGATTTTACTGCGCCTGGAGTCTCAACCCTAAAGCCAGTCCCTGATCCTTAGGTTCTTGGCAGCCCTAACCCCAGGTGCTTATCACTGAGACGGGCCAGGTGAAATCCTTCTGGAAAAGGCAGGTGAAAACGAAATGATTGGATTTCAAGCTCCAATCTCTCATCCTAAACCCAATCCAAACTTTAACCCTGCTCCACACCGAATTCCTAAATCAATCTCGACTTTGACCCCCTGCCCATGTCTCTAACCTTCTCCCGCGGTGACCCCCCACCATTCGTCTCATCCTTGTAGGTACCCTCCTTCTGAAAGGTCTGTGTAAGGTCTCCAGCAGCTCTTTGAGTTTCTGGGCCTTTCCACATCCTGCAGTCTCAGGTGCGGTATCCTTTTCCCAGGGCCACCTGGTAAACGGCTCTCACCTTTCAGGAGCCACGGCGAGCCCTTGGGGTTCCACGCCCTGCCCTGTGCCACCCTGTGTCCTGGCCAGGCTCTCTGAGTTCTTATGTAGGCTCTGAGTCTGCTGGGAGTAGAAATTGGAAGTAGAAACAACTAGTTGATTGTGAATGAATGAGTGAATGAGAGTGAGTCAGAGAATGGGGGAGTAAATGAAGAATGAGTGAATGAATTATTGCATATCCTCGGCCTAAATCTTTAACCCTGTCCCTAGCCTGGATGCCTTCCTGAGTAAGGAACAAGTGAAAGACTAAGGGACTCCCCCATCCTAGGTGCCCTGAGATTGTTAAGTGTGTGTGTGTGTGTGTCTATGCGCAAGTGTGTCTGTGCACTTGTGTGCATATGCATTTGCACCCAGTACTTTGAACAGACAAGCCTGAAGTGCACCCCTGGCCCCAGTGTTACCAGCTGAGTGACTTGGGCGAGTGACTTCACCTCCCTGGGCCTCTGTTTGCTGATATAAAATATAGTAACAATAATAAAGTCTGTCATAGAGAATCACCTTCCCCCAAGCCCTTGCCCGTGACAGGCTCAGTGTTCAATGCTGCAGGAATAGGAATAGAAGGAACACAATCTTTCTTTCTCCCCACCCTCCCCCAATATTTCTCTCTCTCTCTCTCATCTTTATTCTCAGTTCCTTGCTGTTATCCAGATAATTAATAAAAATCAACCATGAAAAACTGAATCCCACCCTCTCCTTTTGCTCCCAGTCCCTCTCTGTTCTGGGCACAGGTCTGAGATGGGAGGTAGGGAGTGGCTAATGCCACAGGAAGGAAATGAAAACTGGCTCAGAGGGGGAAAACCTCAAAAGAAAGAGAAATAAATTAAAAGCCCTCCCATCTCCTCCAGCCAGGGTTCAGAGTCCTCCTCCCCACCCCCCCCCCCCCCCCCCCCCCCCCCCCCAGGGAGCAGTGAGTGCAGCAGCTCAATGGAAAGGTAGGAGGTAGAGCCACAAGAAAGGGTACAGTGGGACAGCCCCCTAGATGGCAGGGGAGGCCCTGGAGTGGGGCGGGGAGGCCTCGTGGAGGATGTGAGAATCAGCTGGAGTTTGCTGCTGGACAAGTCACAGCAGAGGCAGCTGCATGTTCAAAGACACTAAGCTGTCAACAAAGGGTTCCTATTATTGCGGGAGGTGGGTGGTGGAGGTAGAAATCGGGCTGGTGAGGGTGGCTGTGGCTATTGTACTTTACCTTGTAGGTTATAGGGAGCCATTGCAGGTTTGAGCAGGGAGGGATGGTCAAATATGGGCTTTAGAAAGATCACTGACCAGCAGTGTGGAGGTCGGCATGGAGGTGGCCCTGGGCAGAAGCAGGGAGGCCAGTTGGGAAGCTAGTGGGGGAGTCTCAGTGACTTAAAATGATATTGGTGATTAGTTAGCCTTTATTGAGTGCCGACTATGTGCCAGGCACTGTTCTAACTGCTTATGTTTTAATTCATTTAATCCCCTCAACACCCATACAAAGTAGGTGCTCGCATGATCTTTTAGAAATTCCACCCATCCCCTAGACCAGTGGTTCTCAACCTGTGGGTCGCGGCCCCTTTGGCGGAACGACCCTTTCACAGGCGTCGCCTAAGACCATCCTGCATATCAGATATTTACATTACGATTCATAAGAGCAGCAACATTACAGTTATGAAGTAGCAACGAAAATAATTTTATGGTTGGGTCACAACATGAGGAACTGTATTTAAAGGGCCAGAAGGTTGAGAACCACTGCAAAGTCTCCCCCATGCAACTCCAGCCTCACCTCCCCTCTCTTGGACCTCTGCGTCTCACGGCCCACTGGCTTCTCCACTGGATGTCTAAGGGGCATCTTAACCTTCGTCTAGAAATCATTTTTCCCAAACCTGCTCCTCCCTCTGCCTTTCCCGTATCAGGAAGCAGCAATTTCATCCTTGCATTTGCTCAGGCTGAAAACGTAGCAGTCATCCCTGTGTAACCTCTCCCTCTACCACCCACCCCCAACTTCAGCTCCCTTTCTCACTCCCTACATCTAGTCTATCTGTGAATCTGATTGATTCTGACTTCAGCAGCATTCTCAACCTGACCTCTTCTCGCCTCCCCACTGCGGCCAACTGGGCCAGACCCCACTGTTTCTTGCCTGGCTTACTGCAGCGGCCCATTTCTGACTGCTGTCCCTGCCTCTATTCTTGCTCCAGCCAGTGTGACCTTAAAACATAAAGTCAGATCGAGTCTCTCCTCTGCTCAAATCTGCCTCATCTCCCTAGAGTCAAAGTCAAGGTACTCACAATAGCAGATAGATCCCTACATGATCTATCCAGTACCTCTCTCTCCAGCTCCTTATCAGACTTCCATATTTCGCCTCCATCACTCTACTCCAGCCACACTGACCTCTTTGTCAATCCTTCAAGATTCCAAGTAGCCATCCGGCTCAGAATTTTTGCTCTTGCCGTTCCCTCCCCCTGGAGTGCCGTCTCCCCAGATATCCATGTAGTTTGCTCCTTCCATTTTCTGCTCAAGTGTCACCTTATTCGTGGGACCTTCCTTAGCCCCCCTGTTTAAAATGACAACACTCCTTTCTACCCCCGTCTCACCAGAATGTCTCCAAGAGGACAGGATTTTTGTTTGTTTCGCTGCCATAAGCCCAGTGCCTAGAATATCGTAGGTGCCCAAGAAACTGTTTTCAAAACTGAATGTGGAATCCCCATTTTATAGACGAGGAAACTGAGTACTGCCCACGATTGCACACTTGTAAGCGCTTGGGCTGGGGTGATGAGACCAGCACATGGGCAGTGGCTTCAGTAAGGGTGGAGAGGAGGGATGGATGAAATGACACTACAGATGGGCCAGCGGACTGGGTCCAGAATCTATGGGCTGACTGCTGCTCCAGGGGGTGAACTTGTTATTGTGGGACCTCTTGGGGTTGACGTGAAGGTGAAATCAGTCTGGAATCGAAAACACATTGTCTATATAGTGAAAAGGATTTTTGAGAAGCTATCCCATGACCTTTTAATTCCCAGCAGCTTTTCTCTCCTTCCTCACCCTTGACACCGAGGCATCTATTGCTTCTGGAGAAGCAGGTTCAGCCGCCAACAAGAAGCTGACCCTCGGGCCTGGCTGGTGTGGCTCAGTTGGTTGGGGCATCATCCTGTGCACCAAAGGGTCGCCGGTTCAATTTCCAGTCAGGGAACATGCCCAGGTTTCTGGCTCATCCCCAGTCAGGGGCTTGTGGAAGGCAACTGATGGATGCTTCTCTCTCTCTCTCTCCTCTCTCTCTCTCTCTCCCTCTCTCTCTCTCTCTCTGTCTCTCTCTCTCTTTCTCTAAAATAAATAAAAACATATACTTAAAAAAAAAGAAGCCGAGTCTCGGCTTTGACTTACTAAATAGACATTTTGAAAGTTGAGCAGTCATAACAGTTTCAGAATCCAGAATTTCAATTTCAAGACCTACACACTCGGGAGGGATAAAGAGTTTTTCTGAACCCCCAAACTTCCTCTACACCTCAAGGCCTGGAGTCCAGCCACGTTGGAGCATGGACTTCTCACTATGAGCCCTGTGGGAGGGAAGCCATGAGGTGGGGCAGTGCCTCACATTTGTGTGTGCGGCCGAATCACCCGGAAGGCTTGTTCCAGCGTGGATGGCTAGCTGGCCCCAAGCCCAGAGTTGCTGATTCAGTAGCTCTGGGTCAGGCCTGAGAATTTGCATTTCTGACAAGTCCCCAGGTCATGCTGACCACACTTTGAATAGCCCTGACATAGGGGCTCTCAGCTACGTAGGGCAACCTTGTGGAGCCCACTCCTCCAAGATGGAGAGATGCAGAGGGGAAGGCAACATAGGACTCCTGGGACCCGGAGAGACGGGGATGTAGAAATGCTTAGGAAGATTTTGGACCAGAGGGAGCCAGGGTCCAAAAAGAGGGTGCGGAAGCTGTGGCCAGAAGCAGTCATGGGCGGTGGATGCCAGGGGACCTGCCTAGAGGACAGATGGGATGTATATACCAGAGCAGCTGTAGAGGGTGGACACCCTAGGGAAGAGACAAAGCTGGAGGCAACACTGGGACCACAGACAGCTCCCCCCGCTGGGGTTATCCAAGTCCTTCTTCCATCCTCCCCCGCTTCAGATAAATGTTGCCCAAGAGAATGACAGGGAGTGAAGAACGCTGAAAGATTGAGCATTTTATCCCCCAAAGAACCCGAATGCCCCAGGAGTGGCACAATTTAAAATTTCTTGCCAAACTGTGTTGATTAATCCCTCAGCTCCTCTGGGAGCATGGGGAAGTGGCCCATGGTTGTCACGTGATGGTTCAGAACACAGGCTGTGGAGTCATTCACTCTTTATGCAACACTGGGCAGAAGACACCCTCTTCAAACCTTAGACTCCTCTAATATAAACTGAAGATGAAACTATTCATCTTATGGGATTGAGAGGCTTAAGGCAGATGGCGCGTGCATTCGAATGCAGAGCCAGTGCCTGGCACAGGGCAAACATTTAGTAAATGGTATTTATTGTATAATTCTTTCCTCCAATTTTTCCTTCTCTCTTCCTCCTTCCTTAACCACTTACTGGCACCTACTAAACCCCTGACATAGATCTTGCCTTCTAAGAGGGAAGCAGACAGGTCAACAGGCAATTGCAAGCAGCAGGCTGGTGCGGTGTTGGGGTTGGCCCAGGGACAGGGAACCAGGGTGGGCTTCCTGGGGAGGGGGACAGAATGCTTATGTAGCTGGCTTTGTAGAAGCTGGTAACATAGCAAAAAAGGTTTTTTAAAAAATATAATCACATCTGGGAAGGAAGGAGTAAAGGTTATGAAATTTCTCCCTTAGTCAAGGTTCAGAAATATAATTCTAACGTGCAGCAGTTTATAATGGAAGACAGAAGAGCATGGCAGAATTTGGAAGTCGACAGGCTAAGTTGGGATGCAGACTCTGAGGTTTAATAAACTGTATGACCTTGGGCTCATTACTTAACCTCTCTGTGCCTCCGTTTTCCTTGCCTGTAAAATGAGATTAAAGGTATCTCATGGAAATATGGGTTTGCCTTAAGAATGAAAGGAGGCAGACTCTGT